AAAAAATTTATTTTTTTGTTTGTTTTTTTTTTATGGAGTTGGAAAGGTGAAAAGCCCAGTTTTTTTTTCCCATCTGTGCCCCAATAGTTAGGGTTTACATTCACTTCCTGTTTCATACACACAATAGGAAGTGAAATAAAATGTTGCCAATGTGAAGGACATGCCCTGCCAGTGACAGTTGTCACCAGAACAAGTGTCACCGCTGGAAGATTTCCCCTCAATTCCTGTTCTGGTGGCAACTCAAACGTTAGTTTTCTGTCACCTTCAGTCCCGGTGACAATGGTCCCCGACACGAGTCCAGAGGGTGTTTCTCCCCAATGGGACACAGATGGAAAAAAAAAGACGTGTTCTAACCTCCCATAGAGTCCTTCCAGATGGATGTGTCCGCTCTGCTCAGCAGAGAGAACATGGAGCAGTTATCCACGGCAACCAATCAGATTTTATATTTCATTTTCAAAACTTACTAAACAAGCAGAAGATACAAAGCTGATTGGTTGTCATTCACAACTGCTCCAGATGAGATAAATCCCCATCATTGTATATTAGTGTTCCTGTATATACAGAGCTCAGATACATTGTATATGGCCTTCCTGTATATACAGAGCTCGGATACATTGTATACGGCCTTCCTGTATATACAGAGCTCAGATACATTGTATACGGCCTTCCTGTATATACAGAGCTCAGATACATTGTATACGGCGTTCCTGTATATACAGAGCTCAGATACATTGTATACAGCCTTCCTGTATATACAGAGCTCGGATACATTGTATACGGCGTTCCTGTATATACAGAGCTCAGATACATTGTATACAGCGTTCCTGTATATACAGAGCTCAGATACATTGTATACGGCCTTCCTGTATATACAGAGCTCAGATACATTGTATACGGCCTTCCTGTATATACAGAGCTCAGATACATTGTATACAGCCTTCCTGTATATACAGCTCAGCTCAGATACGGCGTTTGTATATACAGGCTCAGATACATTGTATACTGGCCTTCCTGTATATACAGAGCTCAGATACATTGTATACGGCCTTCCTGTATATACAGAGCTCAGATACATTGTATACGGCCTTCCTGTATATACAGAGCTCAGATACATTGTTCCTGTATATACAGAGCTCAGATCAGATACATTGTATACGGCTTCCTGTATATACAGAGCTCAGATACATTGTATACGGCCTTCCTGTATATACAGAGCTCAGATACATTGTATACGGCCTTCCTGTATATACAGAGCTCAGATACATTGTATACGGCGTTCCTGTATATACAGAGCTCAGATACATTGTATACGGCCTTCCTGTATATACAGAGCTCAGATACATTGTATACATTGTATACAGAGGATACATTGTTCCTGTATATACAGAGCTCAGATACATTGTATACGAGCTCAGATACATTGTATACAGGGTTCCTGTATATACAGAGCTCAGATACCTTTGTATAGATACATTGTATACGGCCTTCCTGTATATTACAGAGCTCAGATACATTGTATACCTTCCTGTATATACAGAGCTCAGATACATTGTATACGGCCTTCCTGTATATACAGAGCTCAGATACATTGTATACAACCTTCCTGTATATACAGAGCTCGGATACTACGGCCTTCCTGTATATACAGAGCTTGATACATATACGGCCTTCCTGTATATACAGAGCTCAGATACATTGTATACGGCCTTCCTGTATATACAGAGCTCAGATACATTGATACAACCTTTGTATATACAGAGCTCAGATACATTGTATACCTTCCTGTATATACAGAGCTCAGATACATTGTATACGGCCTTCCTGTATATACAGAGCTCAGATACATTGTATATTCCTGTATATACAGAGCTCAGATACATTGTATACGGCGTTCCTGTATATACAGAGCTCAGATACATTGTATACGGCGTTCCTGTATATACAGAGCTCAGATACATTGTATACGGCGTTCCTGTATATACAGAGCTCAGATACATTGTATACGGCCTTCCTGTATATACAGAGCTCGGATACATTGTATACAGCCTTCCTGTATATACAGAGCTCAGATACATTGTATACGGCGTTCCTGTATATACAGAGCTCAGATACATTGTATACGGCCTTCCTGTATATACAGAGCTCAGATACATTGTATACGGCGATTCCTGTATATACAGAGCTCAGATACATTGTATACAGAGCTCAGATTCCTGTATATACAGAGCTCAGATCAGATACATTGTATATAGCTCGATACATTGTATACAGCCTTCCTGTATATACAGAGCTCAGATACATTGTATACAGCCTTCCTGTATATACAGAGCTCAGATACATTGTATACGGCGTTCCTGTATATACAGAGCTCAGATACATTGTATACGGCCTTCCTGTATATACAGAGCTCAGATACATTGTATACGGCCTTCCTGTATATACAGAGCTCAGATACATTGTATACGGCCTTCCTGTATATACAGAGCTCAGATACATTGTATACGGCGTTCCTGTATATACAGAGCTCAGATACATTGTATACGGCCTTCCTGTATATACAGAGCTCAGATACATTGTATACGGCCTTCCTGTATATACAGAGCTCAGATACATTGTATACGGCCTTCCTGTATATACAGAGCTCAGATACATTGTATACGGCGATTCCTGTATATACAGAGCTCAGATACATTGTATACGGCCTTCCTGTATATACAGAGCTCAGATACATTGTATACGGCCTTCCTGTATATACAGAGCTCAGATACATTGTATACGGCCTTCCTGTATATACAGAGCTCAGATACATTGTATACGGCCTTCCTGTATATACAGAGCTCAGATACATTGTATACGGCGTTCCTGTATATACAGAGCTCAGATACATTGTATACGGCGTTCCTGTATATACAGAGCTCAGATACATTGTATACGGCGTTCCTGTATATACAGAGCTCAGATACATTGTATACAGAGCTCAGATACATTGCTTCCTGTATATACACAGAGCTCAGATACATTGTATACAGACCTCAGATACATTGTATACGGCCTTCCTGTATATACCATTGTTACCTTGTATATACAGATACATTGTATACGGCCTTCCTGTATATACAGAGCTCAGATACATTGTATACGGCGTTCCTGTATATACAGAGCTCAGATACATTGTATACGGCGTTCCTGTATATACAGAGCTCAGATACATTGTATACAACCTTCCTGTATATACAGAGCTCAGATTCCTGTATATACAGAGCTCAGATACATTGTATACGGCGTTCCTGTATATACAGAGCTCAGATACATTGTATACGGCGTTCCTGTATATACAGAGCTCAGATACATTGTATACGGCGTTCCTGTATATACAGAGCTCAGATACATTGTATACGGCGTTCCTGTATATACAGAGCTCAGATACATTGTATACAACCTTCCTGTATATACAGAGCTCAGATACATTGTATACGGCGTTCCTGTATATACAGAGCTCAGATACATTGTATACGGCCTTCCTGTATATACAGAGCTCAGATACATTGTATATACAGAGGCATTGTTCCTGTATATACAGAGCTCAGATACATTGTATACGGCGTTCCTGTATATACAGAGCTCAGATACATTGTATACGGCCTTCCTGTATATACAGAGCTCAGATACATTGTATACGGCCTTTGTATATACGGCATTGTTCCTGTATATACAGAGCTCAGATACATTGTATACGGCCTTCCTGTATATACAGAGCTCAGAGCTCTGGATACATTGTATACAGCCTTCCTGTATATACAGAGCTCAGATACATTGTATACAACCTTCCTGTATATACAGAGCTCAGATACATTGTATACGGCCTTCCTGTATATACAGAGCTCAGATACATTGTATACGGCCTTCCTGTATATACAGAGCTCAGATACATTGTATACAACCTTCCTGTATATACAGAGCTCAGATACATTGTATACGACCTTCCTGTATATACAGAGCTCAGATACATTGTATACGGCCTCCCTGTATATATCAGTTCAGTTACTTTGTTTCAGTATATATTACATGAAGTCACAGAAGTTTCCTGTCTCTGGTGGGCACTCCATCTACAGACACACATACTCCATGCAGACTGTGATTGCTGATCTGACATCCAGATGGGACCCCCCCACCCCCCCTTCCCCCCCAGAAACACTCACAGGGTGGCCGTCTTGTTGGGGAGCAGGGCAGAGTCGGGCACCTCCAGCAGGTCCTCGTTGGTACAGATCACCTTCTTCCTCTGAGCCCCGGTGGACGTCACTCCGTGTTTGGGGCGCTCCAGGACGCATTTGCAGCTGTGGATGAGGACGGGGCAGCTCCGGGTCCCGGGCACCAGGGTGAGGAGGACCACCACCCCGACCAGGCAGCTCAGAGCCCGGAGACCCACCATCATCAGGGTCATGGTGTGTCAGCCCATCCTGTGCGGCAGGTAAGTGGCGGAGCCGGCGGGGGGGGAGGAGCGGAGCGCACAGCGGAGCGGAGGAGAGGAGCGCACAGCGGAGCGCACAGCGGAGCGGAGGAGCGGAGCGCACAGCGGAGCGGAGGTGCTGCAGGTAAGTATTGGAGAAGAGTTTCTTTGCTGCAGGTAAGTGTCCGCCTGGGACTTGCGGGGTCCCTATTCCTCAGCCTGTATGCGGGGGGCTGGGCACATTGGGGGGTCGCCTCGTATGAGGGGACATAGCGGATCGAGTCCAGCCTGGGATCTCCTCTCAGCTCTGAGCTCTCCTGTTACTGGAGCCCCGGGACCTCCTCCTCCCTCTGCACACTCCCTCCTCCTCCTCCTCCTCCTCACTCCGAGGAAGGATGCACGGACCGTCCAGGGTGCCGGCGAGGAAGGATGTCAGTCCGCAGCGCATGCAGGAGCAGAGCGGGGAACACGGGGGATGGAAGGGAGTGCTGGAGGCACATGGGGGGTGTATGGGTGTGGTGGTGTGTGCATGGGGGGGGTGTTGTATGGGGGGGGTATGGGTGTGGTCAGGGGCGGACTGACCATTTGGGAAACTGCCCGAGGGCCGGGGGTCAGTAGGGGGCCCCATGAGATGCCCCTGGTACCTTTTTCATAGGCTTTTTTGAGTTTGGGCAAGGACACAGGGCCCCATGATCCCCTATTGCCCGGGGGGCCCCATGAGTTGTCAGTCCGCCCCTGGGTGTGGTGGTGTGTGCATGGGGGGCAGGGGAGGACTGACACCTCATGGGGCCCCCGGGCAATAGGGTGGTTTTGGGTTTTGTGGGTGTGTGTATGGGGGGTGTTGTGTGGTGTGGATGGGGGGTGGGGTGTGTGTATGGGGGTGGGTGTGTATGGGGGGGGTGTTTTTGTGTGTATGGGGGGGGTGGGGTGGTGGTGGGGGGGTTGGTGTGTGGTGGGGGGTGTTGTGTGTGTGGGGTTTTTGGGGGTTGTTGGGTTGTGTATGGGGGGGTGTATGGGGGGTGGTGTGTGTTTTTGGGGGGGGGTTTTTGTGTTTTGGGTGGGGGGGGGGTGGTGGTGTATGGGGGGGGGGTGGGTTTTTGGTGGTGTGGGGGTTGGGGTTGTGGTGTGGTGTGGGGGTTTTTTGGGGGGTGGGTGTGGTGGTGGGGGGGGGTGTGGTGTTGGGGTATTGGGGGGGGGTGTGTGTATGGGGGGGTTGTGGTGGTGGGGGTTGTTTGTGTGGTGTTGGGGGTGTGGTGTGTGGGGGGGGGGTGGGTGTGTGTTGGGGGGGGGGGTGTGTGTGTATGGGGGGGTGGTGTGTGTATGGGGGGGGGGTGTATGGAGGGGGGTGGTGTGTGTATGGGGGTGTGAGTGTGAGAGAACATTGCAAACTGAGAGATAGCTGAGAGGGTTTTGCTGAGCAAAATGTTATTGAATTGAGAGAGGGATAAAATTGATTGAGGAGCCAAGTGAACCAAGCAAAACCGAGGAAACGATTGGGAACCATGGACTTAGAGAATTAAAGTATGAAAACAAACTAAGAGAACCGAGTGTTACTAGAGAACAAACCGAAAAACAGTAAGGAGAGAAGCCGAAAAACCTATGAAATTTGTTAAGCAAACCGAGAGAAACCGAGAGAAACCGAGCAAACTGAGAGAACTGAGGAGCCAAGCGAAACCTAGGTGAGCAAACCCAGAGAGCCGAGAGAACTGAGAAAACCGAGAGAATTGAGCGAACGATTTTGGTTAGATGGAAACCGGTTTTTTGTTTGTCCGCAGGGAGATTTATTATTATAAGCAATGTACATATATATGGGGGGTTTGAAAGTATCTGAGCTTTTGGGATCACTATTATTTTAGTTTTAAAATTCAACGCAAACTCCCCCATCCATCCATCCATGTCTCCATCCATTATCCATCTCCATCCATGTTGGTTACATATCATCCATGTTCCATGTCTCCATCCATCCATTTCCATCCAAGTGTTTGAGTCTCCAACATCGAGATCTCCATCCATCCATGTCTTTATCCATCCATCTCCATCCATTTTGGTCCATCCATCCATAATACATATTCTCCATCCATCCATGTATCCATCCATCCATCTCCATGTGTGTTCTCCATACATAACATATCTCCATCCATCCATACATACATTTTCCATCCATACATGTCTCCATCCATCCATAATATCTCCATCCATGGTTGGGGATTCATAGTCCATCCATCCATCCATCCATCCATCCATCACATATCTCCATCCATCCATCCAACATATTCCATCCATCCATACATACATATCTCCATCCATCCATACATATTATGTTCCATCCATCCATAAATATCTCCATCCATCCATCCATAATATCAGGGTAATTGTCAATCCATACATATTCCATCATATTTCCATCCATCCATACATACATATCTCCATCCATCCATCAATCCATCCATACATATCTCATTGTAATGTCATCCATCCATCCATCCATCTATCTCCATCCATCCAATACATATATATTTTCCATCCTCCATAATCCCCCATCCACATTCTCCATCTGTCCATGTCTCCATCCATCCATGGGGTCCATCCATAATACATATATATCTCCATCCCTCCATGTTATCCATCCATACATATCTCCATCTGTCCATGTCTCCATCCATCCATCTCCATCCATCAATACATATATATTTCCATCCATATATATCTCTATCCATCTGATAGTTCCATCCAATACATATCTCCATCCATCCCTCCATATATCCATCCATCCATCCATACATATCTCCATCCATCCATACATCTATCCATCCATTGTTATCATATCTCCATCCATCTATGGGGGTTTCCATCCATCCATACATATCTCCATCCATCCATACATATCCATCCATCCATCCATTAGGTTATCTCCATCCATCCAGTTGTGCTCATAAAAGTTTGCCTCCCCCGGCAGAAATTGTGAAATTTGGTTTTGGGGTATAGATTGTATTGGATAATTTTATTTGAAAATTTTTTTCTGCCAAAAAATGCTTTTTTATTGAAGGATAGATTATGATATAAAGCCATTTATAATGTTTATAGATTGTTTGGCTCCTTTATAAATTTCATATGATAAGGATGAAATTTTGGCCCGGATCAGAAGTCTCGGGGGTTGGGATCAAAAGTCTCCGCCCCTGTTCAGAAGGATCCACCCCCCCCCGGATCAGTTTTTCCAATGGATCAGAAGTTTCTGCCCCCCGGATCAGAAGTCTCCGCCCCGGATCAAAAGTCTCCGCCCCTGTATCAGAAGGATCCACCCCCCGGATCAGAAGTCTTGCCCCAGATTAAAAGTCTTTTTGTTTGATTTTGTAATAAAGAAGGAATCCACCCCCCGGATCAAAGTCTCCGATGGATCAGAAGTCTCCGCCCCTGGATCAGAAGTCTAGGGGCCCCTGGGATCAGAAGTTTTTCCGATGGATAAGAAGTCTTGGAGTGTGTTTTAGGAAGTCTCCGCCCCTGGATCAGAAGTTCCGCCCCTGGATTGTTTGTTTAATTTTTTTGGTAACAGACACACAAGGTGACAACACAAGGTTACAATGCCAATTTTAGGGGGGGTCCCACATCTGTGGTTTGTAAATCAAATATAATCAGTGTTAATTTGTTTTTTAGATTGTTTTTTGTTAAGCAGTTTTTTTGGGCTATGGTTTTGAATGAGCCATGGGAAGCAAAAAAAGAAAATGTAAAAAAGTCCTGCGTAACAAGGTAATGGAACTTTATAAAGATGGAAAAGGACATAAAAAGTTGTCCAAATTTTTTGAATATGCCAATCAGTGCTGTTAAATTCACCTATTAAGAAGTGGAAAGCACAATTTTTTTCGGGGATCTTGGATACCAATTGTAAGGTCAGGAAGACCAAGAAAGATTGCAGCCACAACTGACATGTCTTTATTACTTACCTGCTCTGTAATTGTTTTGCACAGTAACAGCCCGGATCCTCCTAGCTTCACGGGTCCCCCAAAGGGGCTCCTGGCTCCTCCTTTTTGTCGGGTGCCCCCAGAGCAAGAATTTTACTATAGGGGCACCTGATCAGGCTTTCCCAAGCTGCTGCTCTGTGTGTCCATTCGCACATGGAGGGGGTGCTTGGCCCTGATTAAATTTTCTTCATTGGCTGACTGGTTGTGATTAAAAGCAGCGGAAGCCAATGGCTCCCTCTTGCTGTCTCAGCCAATGAGGAGGTAGAGGTATTTTTTGTTTTTTAATGAAGGTGAAAAACCTTGAGACTTTCCAACCACATTAGGGTTCGGTTGGGGTTAGTATTTTATTTATTATTTTATTATGGTATTTTATTGTTAGGGATATGGTGTTAATAATAATAATTGATAAATTTTAAATACTTGTAATAATAAAGTAATAATAATTACCCTCTAAAAGCTAAAAATTTTATTATTTAAGCAATAACAATGATTAATTTTTTTTGTTTCAGGCAAGGTGTTTATTATTATTATAAATATTAATAAATAATTTTTTATTTTCATTTTTTGTTAAGATTAGGGGTTAATTTTAAGGATTTATTTTTTAAATGATTTTATTTAAATATGTGTATTTATTTTAGCAGTTATCCTGGATGTTATGTCTTTGATGGAGAGCACGAGAGCAGTTTTCCTGGAAGTCCTGTCTTCTGGTGGATGACGGAGCAGTTATCCTGGATGTCCTGTTCTTCTGATGTCATGGCGGGCAGTTCTGGATGTATTGTCTTGTGATGGATGACGATAGCAGTTATCTGGACAAGTCCTGTCTTCTGGTGGTGACGGAGCAGTTATCCTGTAGATGTCTGTTCTTTGATGGGTGACGGAGCATCTGGATGTCCTGTCTTCTGATGTGATGGGAGCAGTTATCCTGGATGTCACTGTCTTCTGATGGATGGGCAGAATCACACAATGTGAACGTTGTAGAGCCCTCATGATGACCTCCAGCCATATGAACCGATTATTTTAGTCAGTATGAAGAAAGTCCATATTCTCCATTCAACCTCCTTGGGGCTCTTGGCCAGATTCATGGTCATGAGGTCTTTTCTGCCTTGTGGAGGTGACCGCTACACTCTACAATCTGATTGTACGATCTCCTGTAGATGTTCCATCATCTGCAATGCGAGGGTCCTCCTGATTGATACAATTACAGTGAAATGGAGATGATAGAGCCAGCCTATCACACGACTCCTCATGCAGCGCAGGGACCGCTCACACATCTTGTGATTCATCGGCTCCTCATGCAGCGCAGGGACCGCTCACACATCTTGTGATTCATGCGAGCTCCTCATGCAGCGCAGGGACCGCTCACACATCTCGTGATTCATCGGCTCCTCATGCAGCGCAGGACCGCTCACACATCTCGTGATTCATCGGCTCCTCATGCAGCGCAGGGACCGCTCACGATCTCGTGATTCATCGAGTCCTCATGCAGCGCAGGGACCGCTCACACATCTCGTGATTCATCGGCTCCTCATGCAGCGCAGGGACCGCTCACACATCTCGTGATTCATGGCTCCTCATGCAGCGCAGGGACCGCTCACACATCTCGTGATTCATCGGCTCCTCATGCAGCGCAGGGACCGCTCACACATCTCGTGATTCATCGAACTCCTCATGCAGCGCAGGGACCGCTCACACATCTCGTGATTCATCGGCTCCTCATGCAGCGCAGGGACCCGCTCACACATCTCGTGATTCATCGGCTCCTCATGCAGCGCAGGGACCGCTC